GCTCCACCAATTCCCACGTGCCGTTCTCCTCAATGCTCTTCAGCTCACTCTCCATTGCCTTCTTCCACTCCTCAGCATCAATACTCTCCAAGGCCTCCTTGAGAGTTGCTGGTTCCCCCGGCATCTCCACCGGAAAGAAGAACGCAAATGCACACTCCTCGTAGTCACTCTCCTCGTCATCTCCAACTATCATTGCCGCTCCGGCCAAGGCTGACTTGGCTGGCTTTCCCAATGCATCATAGGTCAGCCTATTAGGGGCTTGAATTCTCTTCTTGCCCCTTCCTTCCTCCTCAACTGCAGGGACATGAAGGCCTTGGCGTTGCTGCGGGGTGACTCGGACCCGTGGATCACTCGTAGTGCGAGAAGGAAGTGTCGGTGCACGCTCGCTCACTTGCTGCAACTCCTCCTCTTCTTCCTCTGCATCCTTGGCCTCCTCTCCCCCATTCACAAGGGAATATTGCCTTGCGGTGGTGCTGCTGCTGCTCAGCTCCAAAGGAAGCTCCATATGCTCCAAACCGGAACTCTTCACCTCCCTAAACCGCATGCCTATCTTCGCCTCATTCTCCGCCTTCCAATCCTTGTACATCAGATTCTCCATGAATTTGCAGTCCCTTCTCACCAAGAATTTCTTGGTGAATGGGTCCCAAAGAAGCCACCCCTTGCTGTTTTGAGCCATGCCCAAGTGCTCAGCCCATATTGCCTTGGCACCAAGCTTGTTGTGCCGAAGATGCTTAGGCATGAGCGCCATGCACATGCACCCGAACACCCGAAGCGTATCCACCTTTGGCTTCCTTCCAATCCACTCCACATAGGGCACCCATTTGTCTGCTCCCACATGCGTCAAAGCTCTGTTTTGGCAAGACACGCACTCCGCACCGCATCAGGCCAGAAATAGTCGGGTAGCCCGGCTTGAATGAGCAACCCGCGCGCCGTCTCCGTGATTATCCGGTTCACTCGCTCGGCGATGCCGTTCATTACAGGGGAGAATGGCATGGTGAGGGAGTGCCTTATGCCATTCTTCTTCAGCCACAATGAGAACTCCTTGCTCAGAAACTCTCCCCCTCGATCGGTGCGAATTGCCTTCACTAACCGGTCTTGTTGCCGCTCCACCATCGGCAACCAATCGGTCTTCACCGTTTCTGCTACGTCGCTCTTCTTGGACAGCACATACACCCAAGTCATGCGAGTGTAGACGTCCACTATGGTGAGAAAGTACTCAGATCCAGCAGCTCCAAGCTTCAGGGGGCCCACCACGTCCATCACCACCTCATCAAGTGGTGCCTTAGCCGTTGCCTCTGAACTAGAGAACGGGTAACGGGTGAACTTGGCTTGCATGCACGTCGGGCAGCCAAGTACCTCATCGGGCTCCCCCTTCACACGTATGCCAGAAACCATCTCATTCTTCACTAGCTCCTGCAAGATGGGCAGGGTCACATGCCCCATTCGCCGATGCAAGGTGAGCCAATCACACTCCCCCGTAGCCGAAGTCGGATTGGAGAATGCCGCACTCCCAATAGTGCCCCACATGCTCTTTCCGTACTCCTCCTCCGCTGCTGCCTTGGGGTTCTCCTCACCCTTGCGCTGCTCCTTGGCTGCTGCACCACTCTTCTCGTGTTCACCAAGCTTGCTGGTCCCTCCAAGATTGCACTTCTTGGACTTAATCTCCTTAGCGCGACCGTTCGCGCCATCGCCGTTACCAACCGCTTCACCCTTGGTGCTGATGCTTGCTGCCACTTGCCTGTCTTTAGGCATGGGGACCACAGGGATCTGCCACATCTCGTTATAGACATCCATATCCTCATGAAGGTCCCAAAGAATCCGCTCTCCAAGCCTCGCGGTGTAGGTCTTAGCTCCCTTCGAGCTCGTGTCCATGCCGGCCTTTTACAACCGCCGCACGGAGATAAGGTTGGCAGCAAGGTTGGGCACCCAAAGCACGTTCTTGGATCCACCATCTTCCCATCAGCACCCTTGAACATGGCCTTGCCCATGCCTTTCACCTCTGCTCGCTGCCCCAAAGCCGATGTCACATGCTTCACCGGTGACGGCTCAAGTTCGGTGAGCAAGTCCGCACGAGGTGTCATGCTATAGGTAGCGCCGCTATCGATCACCCAATAGTCCAGGGAGTGTAGGGTGACCTTCCCCACAGCTGCTGGCTCCTCAAAGCCTTCATCCTTCTCTCGACCAGCCGGTGCTTGCGTGGACACGAAGAAGAATTGACCCGGAAAGCGATCGTCCCTCGACTCGCTCTCGTTGCCAGCACTCTTCATACTTGCAGCACCACCTCCGCCACCGCCACGGCCTCCACGGCCTCTTCCTCTCCCTCCCCCTGCTCCTCTACCCTCTTGGCCTTGAGCAGGACTCCATCCGTCAGGGAGTTTTAAGCAATCGCGCCAGATATGTCCGCTCTTGTGACAATAGTGGCACTCGCCGTCGAATCGGCCACGACCGCGTCCGTAGCTCTTGTTGTCGCTGCCGTATCCGCCACTCCCGCGGCCTCCATTGAAGTTGTTGCTGCCAAATCTGCCTCCCCCTTGTCCTCTGCCCCTTCCACGGCCATACCCTTGGCCGATGCTTGCTGCCCCGGCGCCATCCGCACTCGCCAACTCACGGCGGCGGAAGTCCTCTTGAAGGATCGCTAGCTTCACGTCTTCAAGCGAGAGGCTTGGCAAGTCACGATTGAGGTTGATGATGAGCGAGGACCATGACTCTGGGAGTAAGGCTAGCAACTTGGTCTTCTTTTGGAGCTCACTATAGTTCAAATCAGCTCCCTCAAGCCACGTCAATAAGTCGAAGAATTTCTGCACCCCTTCTTCAACCGCTTCGTCTTCTTCAATTCGTAGTGCCGCCATTTGCCGTTCCAACACCGCCTCTACCGCCGCTGTTGCAGGAGCGTGTACACCCTTGAGAGCAGCCCATGCCTTTGGTCCCTTCTCTGGTTCACACTGGAATGGCTTGATGTGACGGATCTGGCTGCTCCCCAACGCTTGCCCAAGTAGGAGATAGCCTTGTGCGCTCTTCCGCACCCACGGGCTCTTCTCCGGGTCGTTCTCGGGGCGCTTCTCCGTTCCTTCCATCACCTCCAGCAGGTCATAGTGGTCAAAGATGTTCTCCATCTTGAAGGACCATTCAGCAAAGTTGTCACCATTGAACTTGTCAAGCCCAAACACCCTAGGCTCATCCCTAGGTGGGCCAAGAATTGGCTGCATGGGTGCCATGGCTGAATCACGGGGTTGGCCTTGAGCTTGGGCTTCTCCACTGCCACCAGCACCTCTGCCACCCCCTTCCTCAGGTCCAGCCATTGTCCAAACTGCTCCAAGGGGCTCTGATACCACTTGTTATAGTCACAATAGGCTTGAATGTGCCTAAAACGAAAGATAGAGTGCACAGTCGGATTTCTGCACAGCGGCTTCAAACGTTGTTAGCGTTCTGGTCACATCTGCAAAGAACTTGATTCAAATTGGATCTGGAGCGTCTTGACGTCGCCTACACTTGGCAATTTAGATTGCACGATTTCATTAAGGATTAATGACGCAACGTTGGTTTGAACGAATGGCACTATGGCAGCCACTATAGACTTAGAACACAAATTAGGAAGAGTTACGAGTTGGGAATGACTCCCAGCTCCTACAAACCCCAAGAGCCGAGGTACAGTGATGTGGAACAGTGCCACACTGTCCCCAACCACGAAGGGTCTCGAAACTACCCTCCACAAGGGCCTACACCAAGAGAAATGTTACACTACACATTGTAATGTAACTATTCTCACTATCTTAAAGTTTACCCTTTTTTGCAGAGCTTCGAAATCACTTGAATCTTGAAACCAAGGCTCTGGTTCTTCAAGATAAATTCTTCCTTGAGTTCTTGGAAGTCTGCTGCACACACCTGCGACACGCCGAACGTTCCACACACGACAAAATAGAAAACCGCACACGACACGCAAACGACGACGTGACACGCGACTAGCGATAACTCGCTATTGACTCGACACACACATTCAAAATCATGTCTCATCATTCACACACTATTTTAAGCATGAAATATATATTATCTCATGCCGTCATACCATTCCATGCACACACGCATGCACGCACACGGACAACAAGCCGAATGCAAACCGTAGGATTGCACCAACACTGGTCAGTTGGACCAACAAGCTGGTTGGACCAATTGGTCATGTCATATCATATGCATTCAGTGCATATGCTATAAGAGTGGGATGCAGGTGTAGTTATTATGCTAACGTACGACCATAGGTGTAGGAAGACTTATATATTAGGAATAGCATTGGGGTGTAGAATGTAGCGATATGTCTGTTGTAGAGGGGTGTAGAAGGGGGGAACCGAATTGAAGCAGTTGGAATCACGGGGGAAAAGGACTGAAGGGCGAATTGTGAAACCAGGGAACACCAATCCCGAGCCGCACATTTGGGAAATGTGCAGCTTGGGGCTGGGTAAGGTCCCTCATGCCCACCCCTTCCTTGCCTTTGGCTTGTTATTCTCTCAAACTAGTGAAGGTTGTCATCTACGCTCTAGTACACCGTGGCACGTCACTAAGAGGGGAGCCTACGGGGTGAGGGACCAAACTCTTTCATAACAAGCCAAAGCTACTGAGCCTGCGCAGATATGGATAAGTACGAGTTGCGTTGGGGTAGGATGTTTAGCCGTCGCAAGGAGGAATGGCCGCGACGTGAGCCGTCACGCGAACGAGGGTGATCATTGGAGAGATCGCCGCGCCGGCCAGCCTTCCGCGCGGACCGAATTCCCCTCGCAAGGGACCGTCGGGAGAAAGGATCGATGGGCGAGGGAGCAGGCAATGCGGGCCGTGTTGGAGGCGTTAATAGAGATGCGTGGCTTCAAAAAAGAGCGCGCAGGATCGGCGGAGAAAGAAAAACCCGCCGCGACGAAGGAAAGCTCCGCTCTCCGGAGGGGCGAGGACAGCGCTGCGACGACCGCAGCCGTTGGCAAGGCCTCGAGGAAATTCCCCGGGGACGAGGAAGAGACATGCGCGGCGGTGATCACATGGAGGGCGCGCAGGAGAGCGCAGCACAGGAAGTGAATGGGGAGCAGGGCGCGGAAGCGGACGAGGAGGACACGAGGCTGCAGATCGAGGGTGCTGATGAGGGAGATGGTGGTGAGGACCAGGCAACGGGAATAGATGTGGCCGAAACCGCTCAGGTGGACGAGAACGCTGGCGCGAGCCAGGCGGAGGAATCCCACGGGCGAAACGCCAGCCGCGGGGACGAGCAGCGCGCCGAGGGCTCGCTTTGGCAGGAGCGAGTGGCCCAGGATGAGAGTGGGCGCGATGCACAGACGGAGAGACAGCGTGGCAAAGGAAAGGCGGAGCGGTCACGCACGCCAGAAAGGGGTCAGTATCGCGGATATTGGCGCAGGGGGGACTTCAGATCGGATGACAGGCGAGAAGAGCGGGGAGGATGGAGCGGCGGAGGCGTGCGTTCGCCGGAGCGGCAGCAGGCGCGCGGGGGCAGATGGAAGGATGAGCCACGCTCTCCTGAGCCGCACGGGCGTCAGGGAAGGAGGGACGGGACGGAGCTCTGGACGCAGGAGCGGCGCGGTCGGCAGCAATGGGAGCGCGGCAGCGTGGTGCACGCACCGGATCGGCCAAGGCAGGGAGAGAGGGGGAACCGCAGCGGGTCCCACTCGCCAGACGAACGCCGCCAGAGGGGGGAGAAAGAGGAAGGAGAAGGGCATTCGCCTGAGCACCGCCAACAGCGCAGCAGAAGGTGAGGCACCGCGAGACGAGCAAAGGGAAAGGGGGGAGGATGCACGACCCGCCAACGCAGCAGTGGGCTCGGGCAGAGGAGTGGGGAGGGCCGAGGGAAAGGCGCCGCGACGCGAAATGGATTTGGCAGGAGGGCGGGAGCTTGGTGTACGGCGCGAAACGGGCATGGGAGGCCAGTGAAGGCATGCAGAGAGCAAGGGAGAGAGGAGCGGAGAGCAGTCGGCCGGGAGGGGCTAGCGAATCGTGGGGAGAGGGGCGAGGGGGTGCTGCCAGGGCGCCTCGGGTAGAAGTGCCCGCCAGGTTCTCAGGAGATCAACGCGCAGGGCCGGCCCTCAAGAATTACCTGATGCTGGTGGGAAATGTGGGCTACCGCTGCGACAGACACAATGTGGACCCCGTGGACTTTTTCCTGAGTTTACCGAACACACTAGAGGGAGAGGCCAAGACGCTGTACCGTATGCGGATGGAGGAACTGCTATGGAGGGCAAGGAAGTATGGGGAAGACCCCACCGAGGCACTCCTGGAGCGGCTACAGCGGTAATTCCCAGGGCACACGGCGGAGCACATAAGGGAGTTCCAAGAATTCAGGAGGGGACGGGCGGAGTTGCTGCTGACCTACTACAATAGGCTGATTAATGTTGCGGAGGACGTGAAGTGTGCAGACAACAGCCTTCTCATTAGCAAGTTCTTGGGAGGCCTGGACGAGGCCCTGGGGGGGGGGGCTGAGGATGAGGGTGTACGAGTTAGGGGCTGAGGCGGCACTAGAGGAGGTATTCGAGCTGGCGGAGAAAGTTGAGCTCGCACAACGGAAATATGAAGCATACCTGCCGAGGCCGACAGAGAGGAGCCGCAGGCCAACCTGGGCGGCAGCCATGATACCTGAGGAGAGGGGGAGGGCAGACACGCGAGCGGAGATGAGAGCGGACACCCGCACGTGTCACCGCTGCGGGCAGGTGGGGCACCTCTGCAAGGACTGCAAAAAATGTGATGGCTGTGGGAAGCTGGGGCAGCGGAAGAGAGAATGTCCAGATGCAGCCAGGTGTGAGATCTGTGGGAAGAAGGGGCATGATGCCAAGGGGTGCTATCAGAGGGAAGGGGGAGTAAGGAGAAATCCCGAAGAGCTGCAACGGAAGATCAGCAGGTTACAGTCTCAGCTGCAAGCCATGGGGCCAAGGTGGGAGGCAGAGGCAGGAATGTATGCCAGAGATGACGAAGGGGAGGAGGTGGAGCCAGACGCTTAGTGTGCTCTGATGGCATGGAGGGGGAGAGAGGAGATGGGGCTACGGAGCGGGGGCAGGGATGGCAGGCAGGAACACGGCAGGAAGGAACGTGAACGAGGACACAAGCCAGACCCTGTGGCACAGGAGAAACCCCCAGCACGCCACCCGCAAGAGAGACTCGCATGTCAGACTTCGGTGCTACTAGTGGGGGCAGGAGCAATGGAGGTAGAAGGGAAGCAGGTGAAGACAGCCATAATTGACACAGGAGCACAGAGTGTGATGCTGGGCAAGGGGATGGCAGAGCGGTTAGGACTGATGGCCCCAGAGAGGCAAGTGGCGAAAGGCATGTTGGTGATGACAGCAGAGGGAGGGGAGCCGAAGTGGATGCCATGCACACGGACACCCATAGAGCTGACTCTGTTGCCAGGAGGGGAGCATGAGACCCGAATCAGGATCAAATGTGGGATTTCCGAGTTGAAGGACTTTGATGTGTTGGTAGGGACGGAGATGGTGTTTGCAGTGGGCATGAGTATTTGCACCTGGACCGAGAAGGTGGAGTTCTGTACGAGGTATTGGAAGGAGGGACCCTTGGGGCAGCTTCCGGTGCAATTTGTTAAAGTGGAGCCGAAGAGGGCATACCAGGCCAGCGCAAGAGAAGCATCGAAGAGGCAGCAGATAGGGGGACAGGTGGGGACAGAGGAGATCAGAGCGGGGCCTAGGATGAAGCTGATGGACGCCCCAGGGAAGCAAAGCAACTGACAGCAGCCCATTCGCTTGGTGGAGCTGTTCGGGGGAATTGGGGCAGGGCTGGCAGCAGTGGTGAAGAATGGGATAGCAGTGCAGCAGTGGATATATGTAGAACAAGTGCCGGAGGTGAGAAGATGGCGGAGCATCACGCATGGAGGTTGCAGGCCGAGTTCCCAGAGCTCCTGAGTGCAGAGGTGATTCGGGACGCCATGGGCAGCACCCTTCACGACGTGAGCCAGGTGACGGAGGCGCAGGTGGCCAGCTAGGGACAGGTAGATCTGCTGGTGGCGGGATGGGAATGTCAAGGGGTGTCTTGGGCTGGAAAAGGGAAGGGAGGGGAGGATCCGAGAATGAAGCTGATAGAGAGTTTGTTTCGCATATTGGAATGGCTGTAAGAAAGACTAGGAAGAGTGGCGTACCTGTTGGAGAATTTGGACCTAGAAGGGGATTGCCGTGAGCCGATTCGGCTGGTGAGAGAGAGGATCAGCAGACAGTTGGGGAAGGGGATCAGCTGTGACGCAGCCAGGGCGGGGTCTTATGCACACCGGCTGAGGATGTATTGGCAGAACGTCGTCCCGGTGTTGAAACTGCAAGAAGAGGTGGAGGGGGTGAAGAGAGCAACGGGGAGAAGGGTGCTGGACATCTTGGAACCAGGGCGGACTCCTGCACCAGTGTGCCAGAAGGGCTACAGCAAGCACTACACGTGCAACCAGGTGGGACGAGACAGGAGGGCCCTGCCCACCCTGGTGTCGTATGTGGGCGCAGTCGGCTACAAATGGGAAGGGGGGAGGCTGGGACCAGGACTGGTGTACGATCACAGGCAAGGGTGGTGGGAGGAACCAACAGCGTTGGAAAGGGAGCTACCCATGGGGTATGGGGAGAACGTGACAGCAGGCCTAGGGGTGAGTGAAGAGGAGAGGAGGAGGGCGCTGGGGAACGCCATGGACGGATACATGATGAGGTGGCTGGTTCAAAGGATGTGGAGGGAGACGGTCTTGAGCTGGGGGCATGAAGCAGAGGGAGGGGCGGCAGCGCCAGTCCCACAAGGAGCTTGGACCTGCAAGGAGGAGGAGAGAAAGCAGTGGACAGTAGGGGAGGCAATGAGTGAAGAAGGAAGGGAGGCCATGCGGGAGCTGCTAGACAAGCACAGGAAGTGCTTTGCCTTCACGCTGCAGGAGTTGGGACGGTGCAAGGTGAAGGAAATGGAGGTGAAATTGAAAAGCACGGAGCCGGTATTTCACCGCAAGAGGAAGATGCCGCACGGAGATGAGGAAGTCTGCAAAGAGAAGGTCAAGGAGCTGCTGGAAGCAGGACTGATTAGACGCTCAGAATCAGAATACGCTATACCAATGGTGGTGGCTGCGAGGAAGGACCTAATAGGGGAGATACTAAGCAGGAGGATGTGTGGCGACTACAGAGCGCTCAACAAGATCACCATAGCCGACATGTACCCGATGTCGATGGCGGAGGAGATATTTGACAAGCTAGCAGATGGGGTCTTCTTCACGACACTGGACCTGTGGTAGGGATTCAATCAAATCAAAATCAGAGAGGAATACATAAAGAAGACGGCGTTCCATGGGCCAGACGGGCTGTACGAATGGCTGTACATGCCATTTGGGTTGAGGAATGCGTCAGAGGTTATGGATGCGGTGCTGCGAGATGTGGAATGCGCGGCCTGCTACATAGATGACGTGGTGATCTTCAGCACCACTGAGCAACAGCACCTGCAGGATGTGGGTAAGACGCTGGCGGCACTGGAGGCAGCAGGACTCATGTGCCACCCCAAGAAGTGCAGGTGGGGGGAGCAAACGGTGCAGTACCTGGGGTATGAGATGAAGGGGGGGCAGATTGGGATCCAGCAGGCAAAGGTAGAGGTCTTGGACAGGCTGCGAAAGCCCAAGGACAAGTCAGGGCTGAGGGCAGTGCTAGGATTCCTGAGCTACTACCGGCGGTTCGTACCCAACTTCAGTAAGTGAGCAGCAGCATTGAATGGGCTGCTAAGGGAGGACAGGGTCTAGGAGTGGGGAGAGGCACAGAAAGGGGCACTGCAGGACTTGATGACAGCAGTGAAGACAGCAACCGTGCTGCAACTGATGGAAAGTGTGCGAATCTGGAGAGCGTCAAATGTTGGAAACATCTTAATCTCTACTTTCCAGAATAGTAACGCCCGCCTTAAACCAAGATCTAGGCCGATCGCTATTGCGATTTAAGTGCGACGGGGTGTCCTAGACGAATCACTTGGCAGCCATGGATTACATATAGGAATGGCTTAAGCTAGAGTTCAGATCTGAAAAATAACGAGTTTGACATACCATCCCAACCCTTGCCATACAACAATCCCCAACAACCCAAAATGCCAAACTAGCAACACCAAAGGTGTTGTAGTGCTTAGCAAAGGTTTGTTGGTGCTTGTTTGGTGCGAGATCAAATCCAGCCCGTAACAAGTCTAGCAATCATATTTTGCCCAAACCCTTAGCCCACAACCAGCTAGAGCAAAATACCACAACCACCTACACAATCAACACTCCCCCTTGCTCATGCTGGAGGTGGCTGAACACCACTGGGCAAAATCCTTCACTCCACTCCCCCTTGCCCAGGAAGGGGAGCCATCCACAGCATGATATCATCAAGGCAGAGAAGCACCAGCCCTCCCACATCCTGCTCAGGCACCATGCCAACATGGGGCTGCATCCCCATCAAGGACATGCACACACCGTGCCGCTCAAAAGGAAGGGGTTTGGTGAGTATGTCTGCTGCCTGCCGGTTGGTTGGGCACCACCGGAGGATCACCTCACCGCTTGCCACCATCTCCCTGATGAAATGCCACCGAACCTGCATGTGCTTGGTGCGGCCATGCAAGCATGCATTCTGTGCAAGGGCAATGGCAGACTGGTTGTCCACAAACATAGGCACACCACCAGCAAGCTCATGCCCAAACTCCCCAAACAAACGCTTCAGCCACACACCTTCCCGAATGCACTGACACAGACTGATGTATTCACTCTCAGTGGTGGACAATGCAACCACCGGCTGCCTCTTGCTCTGCCAAGAGATGGCTGCACCATTAAGGCAATAGACATAGCCGGTGTGACTCTTGCGGTCTGCTGAATCTCCAGCATAATCAGCATCACTAAAGCCCACCAACTCAACTTGAGGCTTGCTATGTGCGGGGTAGAAGATACCTGACTTGACACAACCTTTCAGGTACCT